CTGAGGCAGGAGGATTGCCAAATTCAAAATCAACCTAGGATAAAGAGTTCAAGACCAGCCTAGGTGATTATGTGAGACCCTTTTTTAGAAGAAGAAAAATGGGGATGAGGAAGAGGAGGAGTGGAGGGAGAGGAAGAGGAGAGGGGAGGAGGAAGAGGGAGAGAGGGGAGGAGGAGGAGAGGGAGGAGGAAGAGGGGGAGGAGGAGAAGGCAAAACACCATTCATTAGTGGAAATAGATGCTAGCTTATGGAGGCTTTGAGGGCTGACTGTCAAGATCTTGCCTCCATAGCTCCCTTCTTTCATTTGATGGCCTCTAGAGAGGGAATGCTAGATTAATTTTACCCTTTTTGGTTGTGAGCCTGAGCCTTTAATGGCTGTGCCAGCTCCCCAACCCATAATAGATTAATTTTAAACAATGCAAAATGCTGTTGTCTGTATTGACTAGACATTGGGCAGGAAAGAAAGCTTATTTTTAATGCTATGTAGATTAAGGGGCCACTCATAATTAATGTGTCTGATAATTCTATAATCAGAAGCACAGCCAGCCACTTCCTTACAAAGCCTTGTTCTCAGAATAACAGAGATGGCACAAGAGGAGCCTGCACTGGCAGGTGATAAGTGTAGTATGTATGGGGGAGGTGAGAGAGAGAGAGAGAGAGAGAGAGAGAGAGACAGAGAGAGAGACAGAGAGAGACAGAGAGACAGAGAGAAACACACCCAAGAGATGAAACCAAGTACTAAGAATATTTTAGATGTAATCATGTTAGTTTTGTCCGCTAACATGGTTGTGGCCATATTAGCAGGTCAAAACTATTGCTGGTCTCAATTTATAATGTTGAAAAAAATGACTTTGAGCCAGGCTTCATGGCCCATGTCAGTAATGCCAGTACTTGGGAAGCTAAGGTGGGAGGCTCATGAATTTGAGGTTAACCTGGGATATATCAAAAGATACAGTCTCAATTTAAAAATAAAAGATATTTTGACCTTGAATATTATACTCACAGAACAAAAGAAGGGTGTGGAGTCTTTGACATAGTATCTATGTAACCTCATGATCTCTGAAGACTATACATGTGTCCTGGAACTGCTGTTCTAGAAATGAGTAGAAATGAAATCCTACTTTTTAGAGGCAAGAAAGCTGACAGCTGGACCAAAGGGTATAAGAGGATAAGAATCTGTTGGAAACACAAGATGTTGGTTTGAGCCATCTCAGACAGAGCCCTGACATAATAAATACATACATTTCTATAGGGCTTTCCAGTGTTCAGACTGCGTTGTGTCATCTGCAAAAAGAAACCCTTTCCAGCATGTTCTTCTGAAAATATGAAGGTTAAAGAGCAATAAAGAAAGTTTACTTTGGTTAATTACATAATTCATGCCACACACAGTTTATTGTTGAAGAATTGAAAGTGACAGAAATTCAAGTTCAAGAAAAGCAAGAGGAAAAAGTAATTTATTTGTCCACTTAGAACCCAAACTTCAGAAACTGGGCTTGTTCTTAGCCCAGCTGTATTCACGTAGATGTTGTAAAGGGTCACCTCTCCCACTCTATTCTGTTGACTTTGGGAACGTCACTATTTTCTGGGCTTTCCCCAGCTGCTGGGACTGTTGCCCTTGGCAACTTCAGTTTCAGCTGAACCTAATAGCACACCATTCCAACAGAGACAGCAAACTCTGTCCTCTACTCCCCACTGGAAAAGAGCTTTGATTGCCTTACCTGAGTCAAGTCCCACCAGGTGATCACTGTGTGTATGTGTCAGGCATGGAAATGAGATCCCTTTGATAAGGTGACAAACAGGGACAGGGAAAGCACAAGTAAGCTGCAGGGTGGGTGGGATGTCCTGTGGGAGACTTGGGCTTGGTGGGTAAAATGAGGGATGAATATGAAAAGAGGGCAGACATCTAAAAATATTAAATAGACTCAGGATCATCAGCCTTGGGTATAACACTATTTCAGATACAGGGCAAAAGTCGCTTCTGCCTCAAATATGTATTTCCAGTTGCATGGCATTGTCTAAAATCAGTTTTACTCAGAGGAAAGCATTTTGTCCTGAGTTAATCTTTGATAGAAAAAAGTCCCTAATGCAAATAGGTAGCAGAATTAGCTCATTTGTGATAGCGTCAGTCAAGTGAGTGTAACTGGTGGCTTCCTGCCTCTGACTGAAAATTTAAAGGAGGTGGTCAGAGGGCTCTTGAGAGGGAAGGAGTGCCCAGTGGGCCTGTCCCTGCTCAGTCAAACTGGGTGCAGGCACTGGAAGTGATGGAGGTGCAGTCAAACTGGGTGCAGGCACTGGAAGTGATGGAGGTGCAGTCAAACTGGGTGCAGGCACTGGGAGTGATGGAGGTCTAGGCTGAAAAAAAAACCTGTCTTTGGAACACTGTGGCAAGTTGCCTTTCTTTTGGCAACTCCTTTTCTGTGGAGATTAATTTTGGTGGTTCAGCCTAGGCCACATCCACAAACAGACTGTGGAAGAAGTCTTGGCATTGTTCAGGCATAAAAGCCTATTTTCCTTTCCAGGGACCATGATCTAAGCCAGTAAAATAAAATAAACCAAGCAAACCCAAGTTTATTTCAAATTTATTTCTTTGATTTCTTTTGGTAGTGTTTTGGTATACAGACTTTGAAATTGTTTTTTTTTTTTTTTTTTTTTTTAGATATGGTCTCTCTGTACCCCCAGCTGGCTTGGCCTGGAACTCACTATGTAGACCAGAGGCTGGCCTTGGCCTTGAACGCACAGATATCCACCTTCCTCTGCTTCCTGAGTCCTGGGATTAAAGGCATACACCACCACACCTGGCTAAATTGTTATAGTTTTAAAGACTTGTCTTGAGTACATTGGAAATCAGATTTCATTTCAGCAGTTTTTTTTATTACTTGAAAATCTAGAGGTTATTTACAAAATAAGTTTGGCGCTCTTTGCTTGAAATCAAGGTAGGATAGAAATGATCAGCACTACCCTTAAAAGCTACTTAGACATGCAAGTTTACTACTGTCTGTATAGACTTAAGAGATCATTCCTAAAAAAAAAAAAAATTTTTTTTTTTTAAAGGGTGACGGCTCAATGGTTAAGAACACTGGCTGTTCTTGCAGAAGACCCAGGTTTGAATCCCAGCACCCACATGGCAGCTAACAACTGTCCTTAACTCCATTACTAAGGGATCCGACAGCCTCTTCTGACCTCTGTAGGCATTGCATGACACGGGTGCACTTACCTACATGCAGGCAATACACGCATACACATAAAATAAAAATAATAATTTTTTTTAAAAAGTTAAAAAAATGATTATTCCTGTGAACATGTACTTTCCCAGTGTACAGGAATTTTTAGGTTCTGTCTTTGTTTTTGAGAGACAGTGGCTACCTACCAGCTGTTCCAAAACTCACTCAGACCTTTCCCCATGCCTTGTCCTAAAGGTCAACACTGGACCCTCAAAAAGTCCCTAATTTCAAGAGGACAAAGATGAAATTATTTTATTCAAAGAACTAATGAAATATATATATATTTCATCTATCTATCATCTATCTATCTATCTATCTATCTATCTATCTATCTATCTATCATCTATCTATCTGTCTATCTGAAAGAAGTTAAGAGGGTTTGATCAAAAGGGTTTACTATGTAAAATTAGACTGATATGGTTTCTACACTTTGGGAAAAATAACTTAATCTGACAGAAGCTAAACTGTGAGCATTATAAAATAGTGCATTTGCAAGTAAAATCTCAGTCAAGTTAAAGCCCGGACTTGCTGAGAGATGTGGCTGAGGCAAAGCAATGATCATGACACATCTACTTCCAGTGAAGTCACAGGATTGGGCTTGAAGTCACTCTTGTTCCTGATGAGCAGGCAGGCCCTTCATCAAATTCTTTACAAGACAGATGAGGGAGTCAAATCCTGAAAGGGATGGTGAAGAAGGCCCCTCACCTGGCTACCCTTGTTTCGAGCAACTGAGAGTAGCCATAGCCTCATGTCTGAGTGGAGACAACATGGGTCTAGAAGCTTCATCCTCATCTAGATTTGTGTGTCCTCTGTTATCTGACCACTTCCTCTGGATCTATATCCCCTTCCAAAAAGAAGCATGTCTTGCATCACCTTGGAACTGTTGCTTCAATCTCATTATTCTTAGGTAAGTACCTGGCACACTTTGTACAATAGATTTCATCTCTCTTCGCATGCCTTTCACTTAAACAGCTTTAATTCAGCCCAAGAGGAAAGAGGCCTTATGCTTTTTGGACATCCTAGTTTTCATTGTTTCATTCACCCACTTCAACTGAGTCTTGAGGATGCTCTGAGTTTCTTTTTGTGAATGTGCTTATGCCCTCTTTACATTCTCAGTTTTATTTCCTCTCACCTTTGCAAGAAAATATGGGGCAGACTTCTGGAGTTGGCCAGTAGCTGGGGAGAACAAACGATACTCAAGAAATAATGCTCAGTTAAAGGAAGAAGAATTGTCTTAGAACAATTTTCTGTGAAGTACCAGAACTGCCCAAGACATGGTCTCTGTATATCTTGGTGTTGGCATTTCTGTGAAAAATGGCTCAGTAAACACTTATCTGGGGAGCAGGTAGCAGGTTGTACAAAATTGCAGGAAAACCCTCTGTCCTGTCCTCTTAGCCCTCTCATTTTGTGCTCTGAGTGGTTCAGCACTTGCTTCATTAATCCAATAAACATTGAATATTGTGTTCCGGCTCTTTTTTAGATAATGAAGATACAAATGTGACTAAGAAAAACAAAAAGGACATGGAATTTTGCCTTGTGAGTCAGTTTTCCATCACTGTGACAAAATATCTGAGATAATCAAGTTAAAGGAGAAAAAGTTATTTTGGCTAATAGTGTCAGAGGTTTCAGTCCATTGTCATTTGCCTCTGTGTTTCTGGAGACTCTGATGAGGTAGTGCATCATGGTAGAAGGCCAGGTTAGAGAAAAGCTGTTCACTTCAAAGCAACCAAGAAACAGAAAGACAAAGAGGAAGAGTGCAGGGGTGAAATGTACCTGTTAGAGCTTGCCTTGGCACCACATAGGTTAAAATTTGAATGAGACAGAGAAGATTATAATGTCCCCTGCACAAGAATGACATGCAAATTTATGAGGCTCTCCATATCTTTAAGCCAATCGCAATGTTTTTCCTAGATTTTATGTAGATGTATAAAATCACATATGTGTATATATTTACATAGATATATAACTTGAAAGTAGAAGCAAAGCTGTTTAAGGAGACAAAAGGACAAACAGAAGGGAGGAGGGACAAGTAGGGGATCTGAGAGAGGACACGCTCAGCATATGATATATGTATATACAAAATCTTTAAAAAAAAATTAGAGTTTGAATGGAGGTACCCTGTTTGGGTGGATAAAAACACTCTCAGAAGCCATAAGGTCATTAAAGAAAAATCCCAGCACCAAGGGTGCTACCTCCCTATCAGTTGTTGGTCAGGGAGGCCCCTAAGGCTCCTAAAACAAAACTGCTATTGCCACTGCTATTTGCTGCCTGCCAGATCTGGATGGGAAGACCCCATTGCTAAAGTCAGCAAGCATTTTGGGTACAGGACATAGAGAAATCAGCATGGGACTGAGGTAGAAACTCCTTCCCTTCTAGCTAACGAAGGTGCTATGGAGGCTGCTGGGGGGAGAATTGTCATTAACACTGTTGCTCAGCCATGGACTCAGTGTGCTATTCTAAAGATCTGTCATAAACTCTAGTGGGGAACCTATAGAATTGCTGTTTTGCTCAATAGATACGATGCCTTGTCAGATTGCCTTCTTAATGTTTATATTTATATCCACAGATTAGTGCTGCTCTTATAAGGGACTAAATCCCTGTTAAGCAAACAGGATCACTGAAGAATAATAAAGATGGCATGCATCCTCCTTCTTCTTGGTTTGAAACAAAGGTTGGGGGGCTTGCCCTCTAGCCAGCAGGACTCTTTCCAGCTAACTGGTCCAAACCAGTTCAGATAAGACCAAGGCCAGAGCTGGGTACCTCTTCATTTGAAGCTATACATCTATCAGCCTTCTCTTCTTTGTTTAAGTTGACCAATCAAAAATTAGGGGAGGGGAAGCTAGTAAACCTTTAAAACCCAAGTCCTCCCCGGGGACTTTGGATTCTTGGGTTCTGAGTCTCCTCTCCACTGTGGAGCTTTTCCTCTGTGGGAATGTGTTATGTATATGAATCTTCATTTTTCAGTAAGTTTGTTTCCTTCTTGCTTTCTGCTGATTTGAGAATTTTTCTGCCTTTTAATTCTTTTTTAAAATATTTTTTATTTATTATTTTTATGTGTGTATTGCCTGCATGTAGGTAAGTGCACCCGTGTTGTGCAATGCCAGCAGAGGACAGAAGAGGCTGTCGGATCCCCTGGAACTGGAGTTATGGACAGTTGTTAGCTGCCATGTGGGTGCTGGGATTTGAACCCAGGTCTTCTGCAAGAACAGCCAAGTGTTCTTAACCTCTGAACCATCTCTCCAGCCCCTGCCTTTTAATTCTTTAACTGGTTGAAATAACAAACCCAACCATATCCCTAGATTGATAATGAGGCTGTAACACTCAGCTTTGCCAAAGAAACTTCTGTTTGCGGGGGTAGGTGTCTACTGCAGAGACTCATAACTGGTCAAAGTGCTGAGAATAAGTGTCTATTGAATGATCAGCCTTAAAAGGGACATCTATATCACTGCCTCCAAGGATCAGAGAACATTGTGGAAGAGGCAACAGAGAGAATGTAAGAGCCGGAGGACAGGGCAGAGGATTGTGCAGTGCTGACTTGTGGGCATGACATGACCATTGCACTATAGAACTCTTAGCAGCAACTCTTATTACCTGATAAGATTTACCCATCAACATTTTGTCATAGAGCGGGGAGGAGTTGATGAGGCCCTGCTTTTCCAGAGGAACTGCAGGTAGTTAATGGTGCTGGTGGAGGAGAGACATTTTCTTTAGTGGTGTAGTCACTGGAAAAAAATGCTTGCACTCATAAATAGACCCTCACCCATGCTCCTGTTAGCAAGTAACCCCAATTAAACTCTTCAGTTCACCAAAATAACAATCCCAATTAAAAAAAGATATACTTGTCAGTATATCTTTTATATCTTTATATATTTTATATATGTCAGTGACCTACATTCACCTCCCAATAGCCACCCAGCTATAAACTCTTTGATGGTTCAATTCATTAAAGTTAGTGCTCTCCTGGTCTCAACAGTGCCACCGCCTCTTCAACACATGAGCTTTTGGGAGTCCACTTCATCTCCAAACTGTGATACCTGCCTTTATATTCCAGTGAATGAAAGAGGGCAATAAATCAGATAAGTGAATTACATAGTGTGAGAGGTGGTTAAAGTGCTATGAAGGAAAGTGGAGGGTATGGAGAGTTTCAGGAGTAGGTGGTGAGGGTAGCATCAGTGATTAGACTTTACAGCAAAGACCTGATGGAGCTGAAAGGAATGAATTTATGGAAATAAGGGGCGCCAACTTCCAGAAAATAGCTGTTGCAAAGGTTGTATTAGGGACAAGCAATTGGTTTCGTATGTTAGAGTGAAGTAAACAAGGGTGAGAATTGGGGACTGAATGGTCTGAGGGATAATGAGAACAGGAAGCAGATCACACAGGGCATGGGACATCACTGTGAAGACATTGATTTGTGCTTACATGAGATGGAGAGCCATGGGAGATCTAAGACTGATGTTCAAAGGCTCATCAGGGTTCCTTGTTTTGATTAGTGTGAGGCAGGGAGACCAGGGAGGGCAGTGAGGTGTCTCAACTTATCTCCAAGTGGGAAATAGTGGTGGTAGTCTGGAATAAGGTGACTATGAACAATGTCATATTTTGAGGTAGCTTCAAGACAATTTATTGATGCATTGAACCTAGATGCCAGAGAAAGGAGAAGACAAAGGTGGCCCCAGTGCTTTTGACCTGACAACTATCAGTGTGGATTGCAAAAAGCAAAAGATTTATTGAAGTTATATGATAACATATTCTTAACATGATCAAGAATGTGAAATTTTTCATGTTTTACAAAGCATTTTATACTTGTCTAAGCAGGCCTAAGAGCTCACACATGAAGGCAAATCCAAAGCAAACAGAATAAAAGCAAAACTTGATTTATCTAATAACATTCATGTAACAACTACAATTGCTTTTTTTTATTATGAGGCTTTAGACCACTGAGTTCCATACCTAAATGTTGCTGCCACACATAATCCCTGTCACCCACCACCCCATCATTCTCAAGTCATCCTCCTCCTCACTAAAGTAAAAGAAATAAAAAGTCAACAATTCAAAAATAGGAATAAAGGTTATTTTTTTCCTGTTTCTAGGACTATGCTCAAATCTGTTTCCTGACAGTGCAGGAAAGCAATGAAACCAGTCCTCCAGCTATTGTTTTTTTATCCTCATCCCACATTTCCTGATACTCTGTGATCCATTTACTATTGTAAGCAAGTATAACCAGAAGCACTGATTATGTTTTTAAATTATATTTTGGAGCACTTTCCATAAAGAATTGCACAAATGTTCTCTGATACACATCTCCTAAGCCAGACAGCTTTAAATTCAAGGGGCTACATAAAAGGACTTAACCCAAGAGGAGAAGGCAGCTTTCTGAGCCTTTAGCTACCTGATCTTTGCTCAGGAGAGTCAGTGTGGTCCACAGGATTTTGCTTTTTCTCTCTAATCTCAGAAACAAATTGACCACCCACTGTGTGCCTTCAGCTTCAAGCTAAATTCCCTATATGGACTCCAACTGCCCCCAATCAAACTGTCATTCTGATAACAGAAAGGGACACTTTGCCTGAACAGCTAAGTTTCTAGTGTGACAAAAATGTGGAGTTAAAGTTTCTTTGATTTTTTTTTCTGCTGAAAAATATTATGCCATTTGTTGAGAATAAAGGCAAATCATAAGGCAATATTTTTAAAAAGCCATAAAGGATAATCTTCATGAGAGTATGAGGGGAAATTATATTCTGGAGATCTCCTTGAATTTTTACATATTATTGAAAACCTCAATCTGTGCCAGTTGTGGTGGCTCGCCTTTAATCTCAGCACTCAGGCAGAGGCGGGTGGATCTCTGTAAGTTCGAGGCCAGTCTGATCTACACAGTGAGCTCCAGGACAGGTAGGGCTACATAATGAGACCCTATCACAAAAAAGAAAAAGAAAAAATAATTAATGTAGAGATTAATCCAAAGCTCATGAGCGGTTTTAAAACATTTTTGGTTTACTAAGCACAAATATCTCATAATAAGAAATAAAATTATGAAAAGTATAGTCATATAAAATAGAAATGTACAGAAATATATTCATTCACATAAAAATATTAAATTGCCATTTGGCAAGGCAACTGGTTCAACAGGTTGTGACAAATGACTGCTTCAGGATTCCCTGTCTAGGGTACTTTAAAAAGTTATCTCAACATTTTATTAAATGTGTATTATATCTTGGCTCTTTTATTTTGCTATTTTAGGCTAAAAAAGATAATTTTTAGGGATGCTTCATTTTGAAATAAAGTTCTGTGTTTTATAGAGCTCTTTATACCTTCTTTAAATTCTAATTTTCGAGGGATTTGTCCAAAGTTAGTTTGTAAGTGAAATATTAAAAAATAAAGTAAGGGTAAATAAAGAAATCCTTGAAAAGTAATGTTAGATATCGCATTAAGAAAATATAAAAAGGCATTTCAGTAAGATTCTTCCAGCATGAGCTAGCCCCTTCCCAAAGCACTTTTGATTATCTGCATTGCTGCGTTCTCCAGACGAATTCATGGAATCTGCACACATTTCTCTTTACTTCTCTGGCTTCTTTTGTCTAAAATGGGACGGTATATTTCAGCCACTACACAATAGCTGGAGCGAGGTGTCAGAACTTCAGTTTCAACAACTCTCTGAGCCCCTTCATATACTTTCTGCTCCTATACACAGGGGGAAAAACAGATAGTAAATGTTTTCCAGTGAGTCACTGGTGTGCTTTATCTTTGTTAAAACCAGTGAGTTGCATGTGGTCATGATAGTAGTAGATGGGCAGAGGGCGCCTTCTCAGGTAAATTCTTCTTCCCCAGAGCCCTGGACTATATAACCTGATAAAGCAGGCTCAGGGGCCAAGAAGGTGCCATATGGCTTCTCCTTGAGGGCTAAGGATGGATTGCCGCAGTGGCCAGGGTCCCATTTTCAAGAATTTGTGCTCTGCAGTAAGGAGAAAGGCTTAGACTTGCAGAGGCAACTGTGAAGGTGCAATGTGTGGCCCCAGGGAGAATGTGGAGAGGGAGCCTGTAGATCATACTTCCCACTTCCTTTTTCTGGTTCTTACAAAACCTGGCAGCACATGGTTTCCTGGTTGTCCAGGGGATGGCCTGTTATCTCCTAGTAAATTCCCCGCCCCCTCCTTTTCATCTTTTACCTTTGAACCAGTTTGAATGGGGTTTTTCCTCCCTTCTGACCAATGAGCCCTGTCTTAGATGGGTACCATAAAAAGGAACACTGTTCACCATTGAACATAGGTAAAGGCACTCATGGTGGATTTTCTAATAGCAAATTACTACAGAAAAATTGGTGAATAAATAATGCTGTGATCCAAAAGATACTCAAATAAATAGGGTCTATAAAACTAATAAAAATACACAGTAGTGGCAAACACGTGGTGGTATGAACTATTACTAATATTAATTTTTAGGTATTCATAGAAGACTAAGGGGAGGCAAGCTGAGCATCTGAAAGAGTACATACATACTACACACACTACACACATGTCTACACACACACACACACACACAAGTGCATGTAAGCATTTATTGCTGTTGATGAAGATGAAAGAATAGAAGACAGGAAAAGAGAGCCATATAACAGCAGAAAGACAGGACACATGAAATGACCCAAATGTTAGCTAAATAAATGTGAATAAATAAACTGACATCTATTCATCCGAACTTACCTTTCCTACCGACTTGTTAATTTTGAAAACTCGGTATACTAAGTCATAGTAATTTTCCATAGATTCATTGCTTCCATTTTGGCCTCTATATGGCAAATCTGGAGCGTGGAGAACCACCAGCAAAGATGCATTAACTCTGGTTACAGTCACAGCTGGAGGATCTATTTGTGCTGGAGAAAAAGTAAGAAATTTTGATGAAGCATTTGAAAATGAACCATCACACACGAACACATCATGACAAATCATTGTTATATTCAGAATTTTGGCAAAAATCATTATCAAGATAATTTTTTTCTATTTGCAACAACTAATGTGCTACTTTCTATTTCAGCATTTCAGTGATTTCATTAGGAAATTAAAAATGAAGAGTTATGCACAGGGAGATTTCAGAACAAGGAAGATAGTAGATAGGTCCTTAAAAGAGGCAAAATTTTAAAGCAGCTTTGAAACCATTAAGTTTGAATCTATGAAATTAATTCAACAGGATTATGTCATAGATTATGGAAAGCACTGGAGGGGTCAAAAGAGAACTTTTGGTTCATGCATTTTGTTCCCATTATTGACAAAGAAAGAACATAACATAGTTATTTGAATTGACCCCAGATTCAGTAAAATATTGTGATGTGGATTTTCTTGTTTGGTATTCATTGTAATTTTCACTTTATAGATTCACATTTTTTATAATGTTAAAAATTATCATAGATAGATGATAGATAATGTATATCACACCCACAGATGCATATCTCTATCTCTCAGTGGTTTTTTTTTCCTCCTGGAATTTTTATTCACTATCTGATAAAATTTCTTATTCTGTTTGTCCATGTGTCTTAGCCGCTTTTTATTTTTTAACAGCTTTTTTCTTCAGTATAGCATTTTGAATGCTTTACCTGTCTTCCAGTCAGTTTGCTAATTTATTCTTCAGTTATATCTGATCTGATCTTCCATCCATAAAGTAATTTTTATTTTGATGATTATATCTTTTGTCAGCTCACTGTGTTTACCCTCTGTTTCTCTCTTCAAGTTTCCAAGTGCTTCGAAGAGGAGGATTTTTCATCCGCATCCTTCCACCCTATTTAATTTGGAACTAACAGTAAATTGAATTTTTAGCCATCTAGAGTTTTTCATCTGTTGCTGCAGGAGAAAGGATGTCCCTTGGTTTATGCTTCACTCCTCCAAGGGGTTGGGATTTAATCTTATTTCTGCTTTTCATGCTCTGAATTCTGCTGACCGGAAACCTCTGCCTTCACTTGCACGTGAGGAAGCTGAGCTCAGTTTTGTAGGACATTATGCTGTGTTTAATTTCTTCAAGATAAAAATACATGTTTTAACATTCTTATCATGTTTAACACCCCAAACACCCTCTCTTTTGTGTGACTTTGTGCTTAGACTTACTTCATTTGGCAATATTAAATAATTATGCATTTTCCTCATTAGAATATTTATATTTAAGCTAAATATTATTTGTCCCTTGTGGCCCAAGCAATCATTACTGAAGACTATTCTTAAAATGATCAGCAACCAGAATCTGTTCTTTGAATGCATCAATTCATTATCTTGGAATTTAATTGTTCCATGTTATGGTTAATTTTAAATATCAGTTATTAACCTTTTGTGAAAAAGTGCATTCATCCAGAAATACCAAAGGGCCCTGCTGCAGATGTGTCAGAGAGTCCTGGTTCATGATCTACAGTACTAGGCTTTGGGAAGCAGGGGCCAATCTTGACCCACTCACTGCATTCTAATTGTGTTTCAAGGCCAATTCAAGATAATTTGGACTCACAGTACAATGCTGAAATAATTTTTTAAAAGAATAATACATAGGGAATCCTGAAGCAGTCATTTGTCACTATGATGGTTAGTTTATATTATCAACTTAATGCCTGTGGCATCAATGAGTCACAGCTTCTGGTGTGTCTATGAAGGCAGTTCCAGAGAGGACTAAAGAGAGGGTAAGAACCACCCTGAATTCTGAATAAAAATGGGTAAATCCAAGGTGAGTTAGCATTCATCTCTTTCTGCTTCCTGATCTGCCTAGATATGAGAAAGTTCTTTCTGCTACAGCTCTGAGATGCTCCTGCCCCCATGCAACTCATGCTGTCCTTGACTCTGCATTCAAACTACAGCCCAAAGCAAATCCCTCCTCCAAGTTGCTTCTTAAAAGGGGCTGGAGAGATGGTTCAGTGGTTAAGAGCGTTGGCTGCAGTGGCTGCTCTTGCAGAGGACCCGGGTTTGAATCCAACACCTACATGGTGGCTAACAACCATCTGACACTCCAGTTTCAGGGGATCCGATGCCCTTTTCTGACCTCTGAGGGCATTGAATGACATGGGTGCACTTACATGCATGCAGGCAATATACGCATATACATAAAAATAGAGGCAGGGAGATCTCTGTGAGTTCAAGGCCAGCCTGGTGTACATAGTGAGTTCCAGGACAGCTGGGGCTACAGGGAGACCAAATAAATAAATAAAATAAAAATAAATAAATAAATAAAATATTTTAAAATGGTAACTGGTCACAACAATGGGAAAAGTAAGTAATACAGCCTCTGACCACTCCTCCTCCTCCACCTCCTCCTCCTCCTCCTCCTCCTCTTCTTCTTGATAGTTCAGGGACTTGTGCATGCTAGACAAGTGCTCTACTAAGCTAGATCCCCAGCCCAGACCCTGTCTGTCCTGGGAATACTCTCTACCCATGGCACTCATGAATATATGAATATTCATGAATAGTTCTCTGATATCCTCCTGCCTCTTGGGCTAGTTGTTGCAAATTTTCTAAACTTTTCCTGTTCAGACATCTTTTGGTGAAATACCCTCAAATGTCTAGTCTTATTAAATAGTACCTGCCTCTCAATATACTCTTTTCCTAACCAAACTTATCAATGCCTATTCCAGCCTATGCAAGTGACTCACAGATCTGTATCTTTAACAGAAAGAGACTTTACCTTTTAGTCTTGGACATGAATAGCTATTTCCCTTGAATGGTTCCAGACATCTTAAATTCAGCATAATAAAACTGAAATTATATTTTTGATTACCCTGCATGCTGCAAAACTGATCTTTTCCTATAAGAGCCCATCAAAAACACCTCAGTGATTTATGTAGTTGTTTAAGAAACTTAGATGGCATCTTTGACATGTCCTTCTCTCTCACCAGTATATTCAGACTGTTACCATGTCCCTCTAATGATACATTATCTAAAGTCCTTTTTCATAATCTTATTCAAGTCAAAGCCTGTCTCCTGTAATGTTACAGTAATCTACCACTTCCCTTTCATGCATCCAGTCCATTCTCTTTCCATCTATTTCCATGGATACTGCCAAAATGATCTATATAAAGCACAAGTCTGATGAGGTGGTCTCCTGACATGTCTAATAATGTAGTTTTCTGTTCAAAATTACATTTTAGGATACGTTCAAAATTTTTTAAAGATACAGTTCTCTTTCTGGAAGACACCATAATTCCTTAGCAGAAAATTCTTGTAACTGGACTGCCTTTCCAGTCCCTCCTTCTGCAGGCCCTGCTTCACCACAGCAGCGGTCTTTCAGTCCCTAATATATGCTCTATTTCCTCTTGTAAGAGAGCCTTTGAAAATGCTCGTCCCTTTGCCTGGAATGCAATCCTTTACCTTCTGTCTGATTAACACCTACTTGTCTTTAGCAATCAGCTCAAGTGTCCTTTCCCCAGGGATACCTTTCCTGACCTTCTTGGTTGGGTCCCTCCTTGGTTAGGATCTCATAGCACTGTGCACTTTACAGTTATACCACCTATCACAGGCACCATTTTATGAATGTGCGTTTGTTTATTAATGTGTGCCTTTCCTATTAAACAGAAAACTCTAGGAAGAAAAAGACTTCTCTACATCTGTTGCACTTGCCATGTTTCCTCTGCACCAAGTAAAAACATAGTAAGTAACATAAATAATTGCTGTATGAACAAAGAGGTAATTTAAATTTTCATCTGACTTGTAGCCTACAGCAAAAGTCCACATATATTTTTAATTTAAAAAATTCTGGGATCACATAACTGAAATCTTACAGAGCATCAGATGCTACTGAGTTTCTTTTTAAACCTTGCTTTCTCTCTAGATAGATACCAGGAATCAGAATTTAATGAACTATAGCATCATACAGTTCAGAAGAGGTTGCAGGTGAGCTGATGCATACAGGTGGCTCATTAGCTGGTATGGCAGGAACATACTGTTCTCAGATTCTAGAAACATGTTTTTCCAACAGTATTCTTACACAACCTCAGGAGCTGGGGGAGGGGAGGGTTAAGCTGGAAGTGAGGAGGCAGGTAAGTAGGCAGGGCTCTTCACAACTGCTGTGTGAATCCTTCAACTTAACTGTTTTGTAGACTGGATTTCTACTCTTCTATGTACAAAGCTCTCCTATCAAAGCATTTTTAAAAGAACACTGCCAATGGGGAGTGGTCATATAGGAGAAAACCTAGTCATGTTAACTCAACACCATCCTTATTTAAAGAGGATGGCCCAAACCTCCTCTAATCTGAGCCTAAGTCTTTGGCTGTTCTTACCTGAGGAGTCAGAAGGGATCAGATTTTGTTTGATGAATATTTGAACTTGACCCCATTTCTAGGCATGTAATAAATTACTCCATAAATCCCCATGAATGTTACACAGCAGCTTAGTCATGTAACCTCCTTTTCCTCAATTATAAAATTGTTTACTGAGTGGGGCTTGAGTTTCAAGTTATCCCCAGAAATAATGTGCTAGATGCTACAATTATAGTTCTTCTCTGGTGTTAACTGAAGAGCTGGAAATAAACAATAAATAAATAAATAAATAAATAGGCTTTTTCCTGAGCTCTATTGCAACTAGCATTTTGAACGTGTCTGTTTAAATCTAACTGGACATGGCATCACTTAGAAGAGGTAAATAGATAGGCCTCAAAACTGTTGAGATTAGGGAGGACTCTGAAATAAGAGCCATTATAGATGCGAACCAGAGGAAAGATCAGGTCTTGGGACATGTTCCCACAAATCTAGTAGCAAGGTTTGGCAGCAGTTGGAAAATATCTGCTAGACATAGCGTAGTAGTACCTAGAACTAAGAATATTTTGATAAACTTTGTTTAAAGAAAGTACTGCTTACACTACCTGTAAATAGGAGGGGGCAGGGTTATGCAAACAGGGGAAAGCTTTGGGATATGAGAGAAGCAATTGTTTCTGGATTGATTAGGGTTCATAGTCTGAAAAGTTTGTATGTGATGGGGTACAATAGCCCTGGTGGTCATCCTTGATGGGATCTGAGTCCTAACATATGTTCAGGAATGTAATCTTGTTCTTTTGATCTAATTTAAGCATATAGCTTGTGATTGATTCCCCTCCCCCTTCCTTCTACTTTTCTGTTCTTTTGTCTTTTGTAAATATATTTGCTAGCTCACAATTTTCCTTTGTCTGCATCACGATCCAGAATGCACAAATTTTGGTGTCCACACTACTGCAAGGTTAAAGGCACCTATGGAAAAGCAGTCTTAAAACAGTTTGAACGGATATGGAATTGCAAGGGACTCAACAACCAAAATAAGCTGACAAAGAACTGAGACAGACTCAACTTCCCAACTTCAAAACTTACTACAAAGCATCAATGATCAAGAGAGTGGGGGTTCTAACACAACAGATAGATGAATCAATGAAATACAAATGCTGCTGGAACAACAGGAGAGCCACATGAAAAAGAACGATACTGAATATTTACTTCTCACCATATGTAAAAACAAACGCAAAATGAATGAATGACTTAAACAACAAAACAGAAACAAAAACAAAAAAAAGCCCCCAAAACTCAGAATAAAATACTGGCTAAATCTTCATGATTTAGATTTGGCAAGCCATTTTTAGGTAGGACACCAAAAGTATGAATAATAAAAGAAATAACATAGATTGGATTTCATAGTATTAAAAACTTTTCTGTTATAAACAACATTATGAAAATAGTGAAAAGATGACCCACAGAATGAAAGAAAACATTTGAAAATCATATATCTGATAAGGGACTGAAATTCAGAATATATAATGAACACTTCGCTTCAAAAATGAGAAGAAAAATAATCATGTTTTTAAAATGCATGAAAGGTCTGAAGGGAGAATTCCCAAAGGAGATATATAAATGGCCAATAAACATGGAATAAGATGCTCAACATTTTTAACTACCAGAAAAACACAAATCAATCACCTCATTTTCAATTTCATACCCATTAGGATAGTTACAATACCCCAAATCATACAATTTGTGTGGGTAAAAATATGGAGAAAAACAGTTCACCAGTTCCTCAAATGACTAAATACAGTGTTATCATGAGACCCAGCCATTCCATCCCTAGGTAAGAACCTAAGAGAAACAAAAACATATCACTACACAAAAATTGTGCATGAATGTTTTAAGCACATTATTCATAACAGCAAAAATGTTAACAAGTCAAATGCTCATTAGTTGAAGAATGAATAAATAAAAGGTGATATGCCCATATAATGGGATAGTATTTGGTTATATAAAGGATCAAAATATGGATACATCCTACACTATGGATAGACCTTGAAAAAATTGTGCTAAGGAAAGAGCAGATATTTATTTACTAGAAACCATACTTCCAATGTTGAATTTGGTCTTCCTCCAGGTTAGTGATACTGATACATAATAAGTTACTCTCTGGAGATGGTAGGCAGTGACAGGAGCAGGAGCTCTGCCAGCCTTGTCATCATGAAGGAGCACAGATACTTTATTGTGCACCATGTTGTTAGGCTGTGACATTTGGTAGGTTAGGGGTAGTAAATGTTATTCAGCTTATGAAGGGTCTATCCACAGCCCCATTGTAAGTCAAAGGGTGTAAACTCAATGGCATGGACTTCTGACAAAGGTTCAATGGACACCACTAAACATTCAAAATTCCAGTAGAGAATATTGGTGTTGAGCCCCCCACATGGTGCCTTACTTCAGGGGTTTTCATCAGTCACCTGTTTACAAGAAGATTTTGTTGTTTCCAACAGGGAGGGAGCACGAACACTGGAATGGACATTTCTGTTTTTCCTTGCTACTTTAGTGCTTTTATCAGCAGATTTCTCCCCGTCCATCATAACACACCCAGAGATGTAGTGAATGCCTTGTTGATAAGCATAGCACCCCACCATACTTGCTTATGACACATAAATGATTACTGTTGAAATGAGGCAAGGTCTCATGCTTACAAGAATATTTTGCCTTACCATACATCGCATTACTCAGAAAGTTCTGGTTGTATAAGAAAGTGAAACAAATGACTGGAAACTCAGTTTGAGTGACCACATCTTGTAAGGTAGTATATGAAGTGACCAATGTAGGGTAGTATTTCTTTCATAGTGTTCATTGGTCTAGGATTCAAAAGTAGAAGTGAGGGGCTCGGGAGATGGATCAGTGGGTAAGACCACTTGCTCTCCAAGAATGAGGAACTGAGTTCAAAACCCAGCACCCACATAGAAAACTGAGTGTGGCTGTGCCTGCCTATAACCCCAGTATTGGAAGGCAGAATCAGGCAGATCCTGAGAGTTCACTGGCCTGTCAGCCTCGCCAAAATCAAGCTTCTGGTTTAGTGAGAGACCCTGTCTCAAGGTTATAAGACACAGAGCTATAGAGGAAAACAGTTGGGTCATGCTCTGACTCCCACATGCATGCACATGATGCATGTGCCTGCACACTCATGTGTATGCACCACACACATGTGGAAGAGAGAGGGGCAGCTCTTACTTTTATATATAGTGAATAACTTGTGAACTTTGTCTCCTGTAAGCTTGACCTTTAATTCTTCTGACTTAGAACAAAAATAATTTCAAAGAACTGGAAGCTGTGGATGCTTTCTGACCATTTAGAGCTCCTTGTATTATTTAACCAATGAAGGGAAAATGAGATTGTGCTGGGTAGGAGGGTTATTCTGATTATGAAGGGGAAACAGAGTTGTTATAAATGAGTGAAGTATAAGGATGCTTATCATCCTCCAGGGTACCTCTTACAACATCTATATTCCAATATAAAATTAATGTGAGACTATGTCGATACAGCACAAGAAATTCCAAAAGGACTCCTCAATGAATGAAGAGCTGAAGTGACTGGAGGAAAAGTGAACACCAAGTCAATACAAGCGAGAGGTTGTATATTGTAAGCTTTATCGCTTACAACTATGAGAATTCCACTAAATACATTCTCTTTCTTGTTCTATAACGCAGTTTTATACACACATTAACCTTTTCCTTTTTCTCTTTCTGTTTCCTCTAATTTTTATATAAGGTCTCTTGGCAATGGTTACCTTCATAATTTGCATCTTAGATTATTATATAATAGTCTGCGATTTTATCCAAACTAGAAGGTGAATAAACACTATCCAGAAGTAGATCAGAGCAAGCACCTTTTCTTTCTAGTAGTGGGTACTGACTTGGCCTCCCTATCACTGAGCTACATCCCTGGTCCCTGGCTTCTCCTTTTGAGGAGGCAACTAAAAGTTTTAATTTCCTCAACAGAATTGTTTTCTAACATGGGACTTTTCAGGAATTTAACCCCTTTTATTTGGGGAAGGATTAGACAAAATGACTTCTTTCTGCTATCTAAAATGACTTTTAAAAAAGAAAGAAAGAAAGAAAGAAAGAAAGAAAGAAAGAAAGAAAGAAAGAAAGAAAGAAAAGAAAGAAAACCTGGCAGCATGTCAAAGTGAAGGCTCTGCAGTCAGATGCAGGAGAATTTGAAGCCCAACTCAGGTAATATGAGTTGTGAAACTGGAGCTATGGCTGAGCCTCTGCATCTGATTTCCTGGGTTGTCAGACAAGCTAGTCCCTCCTGTGGTCTGTGCATTCAATCAAGGGCAATGAGGGTATCGGCCTCAGCATAGCACAGGACTGGTCAAGCATCCAGAGATTGTTCAAGGGCAGGAAGGGAAAAGCAGAGCAACTCTGTGTAACTCACTTTCCCACCATGGGGTGAAGCGTGGAGTCATGACCCAGTCAGAGTTGGTTCTAGCCAATACTGCTTTCACCCTCCCGTAGTAAGGCTCCCGCAGGTCTGAGGTTTCATTGGTAAGGTCACAATAGAGTGCTGGTGTCCCCCAACATTCCTGCTTATTTTTCCATTGTGGCTGTCCATACCTGAAGGAGGGAAAAGACAAATAAGTGAAGAAATTTCTTTTTTTCTATCTAAGCATTCTTCCGTTTTTCCACAGTATTAATTTTATGTAGACTGAAAACTGACCTCTGCTATTGGTACTGCTTATGATTATCTTTAAGAATATATAAAAGTTCCTCCTTGTTAAACAAGGTGTTAACTCGATGAAAAATAAATTCAACTTTGAAAACTTCTGTCTCACTAACGTAAGGGTCTTAATCCCTTCACTATTTGCTGTTTAACTATGTGTTTCTTCTGGTGTGTGAAGCAGCTTCCATTTTTAAGTACTCACCCTCCACATCCTTATCACTTCTGGGCTTCAACTCTATGTATTTTGTTTTCTCCACTGCTCTTCGGCTTGCTGTTGAGTCATAAGGCTGATTCTTAGAAGTTGCTACCACTTACCGTCCCAGGAGATGCTTCCTGACATACATGGCTCACCTCTCTACTGAAAATTGAATTCAAGTTGCAGTGATGACTCCACAGATAACTCTGGGGCTCAGGACTGGGAGAGGACATTGCAAAAAGTTGGTGAGGCAAAAGACTGACAGGTCCATCCATCCTGAGCCCATGGGATGGTGTGACAGTCAAAGGGACGACTAATACCTTTCTTATGAGTCACAAATCAGCTCAATTCTAATAACATTTTGGAGGGGAGTTGAGTCAAAGGGTGATGAGGAAGTTTTCCCTGGTTGAAGAACTTTCTAGCCATATAATGAACAATATTGATGTTTCCTACAACTCTTAAGTCTAATGTAGTAACAGCAGCTTTATGATGTCAAGATTAAAGGGAAATGAACAGCACAAATGTAGCACAATTTGGTGAGTTTTGATTATTGTTTATTGATGACATATTGTCTTTGCCAGCAGAACACAGATGCTATGGCTGATTTCTCTTTTACTATGAGACCTCATACGCATTCTATCTAAAATGCACAGCTCTTTTGAAAATATTGTATTTATTTTTTTATTTTATGTGTATGAGCGTATTGCCTACATGTAGGTGAATGCACCTATGTTGTGCAATGCCTGCAATGTCAGAAGAGGGAATCAGGTATCTTGGAACTGGAGTTACAGATGGTTGTTAGCAGCCATGTGGGTGCTGGGAACCAAACCCAGGTCCTCTGCAAGAGCATACAGTACTCTTAACTGCTGAGGGATCTCTCCAGCCCCCCGAAATGCGTAGATCTTAAATATGACACACATGAACTAGACACAATCAAATGGCAACCAAATGAAAGTTTTCAAAATTATAAATGTGCATCGTGCTACTGAAAAATGCTGTAAGGACAGGAATTCCAGGTACTCTGAGGTCTGAAATTTATACAAACTTGAGAACTCTCTTAGAGAATTGCAAATTAAAGTTCTTCCATGGGGCTTTCAAGTTTAATCTTGATTAGCTTCTTATTCTAATTCTAGAAGAACTCCTAATCCACTTATTACTTTGTCCACCAATAGGACCACTTGGACCCATTTATACTACCTGAGGGGGCCGTATAAAATGAGTGCCAGCCTCTACTTCCTATAAGCCAGAAGCACCTCCAACTATGTACAAATTTAGTTTGCTAATGGAGAATATTTTATTGTAAAGATTAATCAATTTTACAATTACTGAACAAAATACATACAAAAAAGTAGGAGCAATTAAAAAGCAGGAAACTTCTGGGCACAGTCTCTGTGAAATTGGTTAAGAGAGAAATTTGATCTGGGATCTGTCTTAAGCTAAAGAGACATGGATGGATTTGGGGAGTAAAAGTTACTTTGGCTCATAACTGCATCTGATTTTCTGAACGTCTAATGACAAATCATGAAAGCTAAACTATGCTAGCTCCTGCCACTTGCTCAGTCAGTTTCTAAACTATTTAGGGAAGGAAGAATTTTTAAAACTCTGTGGAATGCCTGAGTGGGAAACTTGCCAGTTTCTAATCAAGAGTGACAGTTTCTAAGCCTTGACAAAGGAATGAAGTCAAATACATCTGAGTTTTAGCAATGGTCCATCAAAACTAGTTTAAGATCTTATATGTAGTGGTATGTCCCAATTTGTATACATGCTTACAGAAGTGATTAATATTTACAAAGAACTTTCTAGACAGCAAACCCACTCTGAATTTGCAGATTAAAATACAGTTTATGTTCTTTCATGTTTGTCACATGTTTATTTCACCTAAAAATAGTTCCACCTTATTTGAATGCTGGCTCTGTGCTAAGTAAGCAGCTTCCCACATTCATTTGACATATATTGAGAAGCCATTGTGTGCTGGAAAGTCATGGAGCCAAAAGTCAATTTACTGAGCTCCCTAAGACTGACGTGTCCATCTTAAAGACTTCACCCACCATCCTGCCTTGGTCTTACCAGACAATCTTCTATCTTACCTCTGCTTCTTCTCAACCCTCCTGAAACTCCTCAAAAATAAAAAATCTGAAAAACCAATCCTTCCAAGACAACCTCCAAAGCAACAACAACAACAAAATGCAGATCCTAACGCTCGGTTGCATTCCAGAACTTGTTACCTGTGGTTTTCTCTGTCAACTGAGGTAACTTACATCTTATACTGCACAAAGTAGATGCTGCTGTTTCCAGCGAGCATGATCCCAGGCTGCCAGCGCAAAATATTGTGGAAATTTCTGGACTGAAATCGGACCTTTTGGGGTTTCAGCGATTCATGGGTTGGCTGAGTCTCTGCAATAACAAGAAAGGCAACGTTGAACATTTCTAAGAGAATCTTGGTTGTCGGTGGAAGTTTTTCATGCAATGCTGGTATCAGGATTCCCCGAGGTAGTTGCTCCAAGTGCCCTCTATCTCTTCTGTCTTTGGATTCTTCTTTGATTTTTGTAACACCCTCCCTGCTACCCACCGTCCAAAATAACACCTCATGGTGCACCGGGTACTGAGGGGCTTTTACTGTCATTCAATCACTGGATTTCCCAGCTCCTCCATGAGAAAGGTACCACTACAGATTTCCTCTTGTGGGCTAAAGACTGAGTCTAAGAGACTCAAAGGAACCTGCCCAGAAGCAAATGTTAAACCTGATTTTGTGTCCAGGCTGTCTGACTCCACAGTCTGCCTCTTGCCACAGAAATCCAAGAGTAAAATCTTGGGTGACTGAAGCCAATGGGAGAGGCAAAATAATCCGCGGTGGGAGTGTGCGTTTGGCCTCCTTCCTTATGCTTCCGGATTACTCATTGAACAGTGAACAGATATGAATATTCAACACATAGTAGTCACTGTGCTCATTGTTTTCAATCTATTTAGTTCTCCAAACCATCAAATAAGGTCGACATCTTTATGATTGCATTTTCAAGATGTGGAAACAGAGTTAACAAAGTTGCACATCTTGCCCAAGATTACAGGTCTGGTAAGATGCAGAGACCCCAGGGTCATTTTGGTAGCACTTAAACTCCTACTAAGTAAGCCCTTGTTACCAAGAACCAGAGGCATAGTCTACTCTAGTTCCCAGATTTCTGTCAGAGGCTGAAGTTACTTTTAAGCACAGTCATAAATCGACTCTATAGTTGTGGGCATTAACTTAAGCCATGTTAAGTGAAAGGTCCCATTTGTTGACTTGGGATTTCAGTGGCCTTGTTGTCTCTTGTGTTGTTGTGACAAAATATTCTATACTCTTGAAGATTTCTTTGTAGACACCATTTGTTTGCTATCTATTGTGTGTGAGGTGCTGCTCTAAGCATTTCCTATATCCATTAACTCACTGAATCTTCACAATGACCTACAATCTTTATTCCACGATGAGGAAATTTTCACACAGAATGTTAAATACAAAGCCTGTTTGTCTAGTAATAAATGGCAAATGATAGAGTTGAAATCCAGGTTCTGACAGATTAGCTTAGCGTCTTGTACTCATAATCACCAGAGAGAGAGAGAGAGAGAGAGAGAATTGTTTTATATGATCCTGTCCCCCAAGAAGGTGCTATCTCTGTCCTAGACACTTATTTAGGTACCTGTCTGCTGGGACCATTTGGTGACTTTGCAAAGCCCAGAAAAGCATCGATACCATTCCTAATCGTGCCTTGACAAGCCTCAGGTGACAACGCTGGGTAATTAAAAGAAAACAAAGCACTTACCTCCTCCACTGGTCAAGAAGAACTTGATGAGGAGGCCTAGGAAGCAAAGTTTGGGCATCATGGTTTGGGCAAGTGTGCCTGTCTAACAACCAGTGATCCCTTCAGTGAGGAGACAGCTGAGAAGAGGGAACTATATGAATCCACAAGTGGACCTCCCTTCATGGGCTTAACCAATGGCAAATGTTCCTTAAAGCAACTTAAATTTGTACTTTATTTTACCATTAAAAGCTTCAGAAACAATAAAAAAAAAAAAAAAGACCCGTGTGGTAAGTTGAGTTTGTATGAAAGAGATTATAATTATAGAGATTATGCAAGGTGAGTGAATCTGGCTGCCAGGGGGCCCTCAGAGTAATATGCTTGGCAATTGTAGCTGCCCCAGCCCTTGGCAGTTCTCCAGAGATGTGGAATCACTGATTCTTTTCCTCTCTTTTTTGGGGAGATTCCCAATGAACTTCTCTGATGCCTCAGGCTCCTGGCACTGCTGGCTCCCCACAGAGCTCTGTGCTGTACTGTTGGTCTTTCCTTCTCCATGGTGGCCTTGAGCCCCACTCAATAAATTTCTCTTCGTTTCCCATTTATACTCCAAGTTTCTAGGAATTCATCTCAACAAAAACTTCAGAAGCTGCCAAATCAAATGATGCTTGTAGGTGACTGTGAAGGAGAATCAGTTTGAGCTGTATTAAATCTTTTTTCATATCTCCTGTGAAATCTAACTGAAGGGGTCATCTGTCCTTCATTCATGGTTCACTATATTGTTTACCAAAAAATTCTGCCCCATCGCGTTTTTATAGGGACTAAAAATTATACATTTAAGCTCAAGAAAGTCAAAGATTTTTTTTAAAGAGACTTTTGAAGTCAAAGGAGGAAATGTGCCAGGTGTGGTGGCACATGCCTTTAATCCCAGCACTCGGGAGGCAGAGGCAGACAGATCTCTGTGAGTTCAAGGCCAGCCTGGTCTACATAGTGAGTTCCAGGACAGCTTGGGGCTACAGGGAGACCCTGTCTCAAAAAGACAAAAAGACCAAAAAAAAAAAAATAAATAAAAAGAGGAAATGTATTCTGACTTTGTTTTCCTTGTTTACAAACTCATTCAAGTTCTCAGTAGAACAGCTCCTGCATTGGTGATGGCTGCTGAGCAGTATCATTCATTAATTCATTAATTCATTCATTTGTTCACATTTGGCAAATATTCACCGTCTTACCATAGAGCAGGCATTGTTCCTAGAAGCAAATAAAACAGGAACTGCCTTTGACTTCCAGACACTTACATATAGAGCCATCAAGGTTGTAGAAAATGCTGAGCTAAGGTCAGGTTATGACTTTCTATCCATGTCTCCTCTGTCTTAAATGGGAAGAAAAAAGTTTCAAAAGGCACCTGGAAAGTGACTTCTCTGATGGGGGATGCTCCACAGAGATTAATTTGACTGGAGCTGTAGGAAGCTGAGGGAGAACATAGAAGAACCATAGGACAGTGTGTGCTGCTGATATACAGGAAGGTGTCTTCAGAGGGGGAAGGATGAGCTCCCACACAAAGAAAGAACAGATGCAAAGCTGTTCTCAAAAGTGCACCTTCCCCATCCCAACACCACTACCCAGCACGTGGGGTAAATCTTCTAGGCACATGGGTGCCTGAGATGCCTGGGCCTTCCTTGGGTATTGCTGGGGTCATGCAGGAAGAGTGTCATCCCTGACCAAAGGGCCTCAAAACAGAGCCTGTTAGGACTTTGCTCAGACATCAGTGGTCAAAAGTACTGTCATTTCACATAAACAATTCCAGAGTAGTTTGAGCACAGCTGTGGTGCATACTCTATGAAACCAGAGCTGTTTGGAAAGGCATGAGAAGATAACACCAGGTTTGTCAGCGCCTCCATGCTTGTCAGACTTCTGAATCAGACTCTCATCTTTACCAAGTGAAGCTGCTGTTGTTTATAAAGTCACTTATACAGCGTCTCTTATGCTCCCTTTGCATGACTGTACTGTGCCTTGCCTTCCGGCCTTTCTACCTTTCAACCTTTCTTATTTGCTGATGTTGCCTGATGAATTATAAACTTTACATTGACCTTGCTTAGGTGATAATTTGGATTTGAATTCTTAATGATCAGTGTCTTCAACATCACTAGGTCTCATTTTGAAGCAGTCAAATTGCTCCAAGTTCCAGTTTAAGAAGAGAAGGAAAATACTGGATTTCAAGGTTTTACATGTTTAGCAGCAGAAACTGGGGTTTCTGACTTTGTGGATTAAATAAGAGGAAATTAGGTGGTGGGGTAACAGTACAGCATTTTTAAGAACTGAATTCTTGCTGCAGTTAGAGTAATTGCTTAGCATGTGGAGGACCGTTGGTTTAATTCTCAGCACCCAAGTGGAAAAACACCTAAATCTGAGAACTGAATTCTCCCAAGGATCTGAGCTTTTGATATGTTGTATTTCAGAAACTAACCCAGTCCTGTCACCATTAAATGAGCCATCTCATATGTAATATAACTTCTGGAAAAACCAACGTCTCCAACAATTCCTCAGGTTGATGAAAGGACAGATTAAATTCTATTTTCTCACTAACTTGGCTGCAGAGGAATTTGTACAGAATTGTTTCCAATGAAATGTCATTTTACATGGGAAGTAAGACCATTAAAGTTAAAGGGAGATTTCTGCTCTGCCTTGCTTCAGGCATGAAATGCTGGCTTCAGACACATTCTCTTCTCATCCCTGTCCTCCCTCCACCCCTCAAGAGGGAGAGTCTACCTTGACTGTGACAGTGGATAATTCTATTGTGCTGTGTCTGGAGAGAACTTGACAAGTCCTCTAATGTGTACAGACTTGATTCTCTTCTCCCTTTCTCCTTGTGGCTTCTAGAAGATCAGCAACTCATCTAAGTAAAGAATTATTACTTTTAGATGTGACATGAAATTTTATTAGTTATTACTTTTGTTCTTTTAAAGCAATAGATATTGAAGGGCTGGAGAGAGAGCTCAGCGGTTAAGAGCACTGGCTGGTCTTGCAGAGGACCCAGGTTCAATTCCTGGCACCCATATGGCAGCTAACTCCAGTTCCAGGGGATCCAATGCCCTCTTCCGACCTCCAAGGGCATTGCACAACATGGGTGCACCCACCTACATGCAGGCAATACACTTATACACATTAAATAAAAATAATAAATAAAAATTTTTTAAGAGATAGATATTGAAGATTAAAATGACACAGTATCTGAGGTCAAGGTCAATAATAATGTGTGAAATTATGGATAATGTATTAAGTATTTTCATGCATTATTTTATTTGATGTTCTTGGAACTATAATCTTGATATTACAGGTGAAGAAATTGAGACATAGAGAAACTAAGAGAACTTGACCAAGGGTCTACAGCAAGTAGTCACTCAGTGAGGGTTGACATCAGCTCGGGGTGACCTCACAATCTGTAGAGTATTATAATATTGCTGTTGTGCTATTCTTTACTCATATCATTCATTCCATAAAGAGAGGGAAGGATGTTAAAGGTTTGGACATTCATTCGCACATTGTTTATTCATGCAAACATTTATTGATTACTGGGTGTAGCCATTGTGGTAGGTGGGAGGAGGCAGACATGAACCAGACAGCAGTGACAGCCTACAGAGCCAACATACTTTTCTTCAGCAGAGGACCGTGTGCTCAGGGTGACTTTGGTTGTGTCTGTCTGAAGTGGATCAGGTTGGTTTGGTTTCTTCTTTCTGCATCAGAGCATTCTCGCCTTCTAAAGTCTGGAAGGCAGCTTTTAAAAGTTCCGGTTTGAATTATAACTCAAACACCAGAACTATGAGAACCATATGCCAATGGTGGCAAAAGTGGGGGACTACTTGTCCTTTCTTATCCTCTAGACCCTTGTAACTTCCTCCAAGGAATGCCCATGACCTTTAAGTAGTTCTGCATTCTGGTAATAATTGACTTGCAATTCAAATCAGTTTGCAGAATAGAATTCAGAAAAGAAGGAACTTTGTCATTCAAATACAGGCAATAAGTGCAATAAGCAAGCTAAGTTTAATTTTGTTAATTTTTGGACTGTGAGTAAATTATAGGTTAAGCATCCCTGCTCTGAAGATATGTAATCTAAAATGCTCTAAAATCTGAAGCTTTTTGAACATGGACATGCTACCACAAGCAGAAAATGCCACACCTGATCTCATGTGATGGATCACAGTCAAAGGCAGTTGTGCTAAAAATTCTGTGGTAACATTCCTTCGGGCTATGTGTGTAAATTGAAATATAAACAAAACATAGATGGAGTTCATGTTTGGGCTTCAGTCCTATCAACTAGATATCTATGCATATGAAAATATTCCAAAATCTGAAAAAATCCCCAAATTTGAAAGAATTCCAATTCCAAGCATCTTAGATAAAGGCTACTTAATTTGCATAATATTTTAAAATCTCCATTCACAGGGATGGTGAGATGGCTCAGTGGTTAAGAACACTGGTTGTTCTTGCAGAAGACCTGGGTTTGAATCCCAGCACCTACATGGCAGCTAATAACTGTCTGTAAATCTAGTCCCAGGGGATCTGACAGCCTCTTCTGACCTCTGTGGGCATTGCACGCCACAGGTGCACTTACCTACATGCAGGCAAAACACACACACACATAAAATAAAATAAAAAAATAAATAAAATTAAAAAAAAAATCTCCATTCACAAAACTTAGTAGAACTTTGCAGCATTACTACACCAACATTATAACTGAATGACAAAAAAAAAAAAACCTCTTAAATTTAGTTTTTAATAGAGGACACTTGTTCCCCTAGATATCTCTTGAAACCATCTGTCTCCTGGAGCTGTGTTGATGGAGCTTTCTTGTTGAAACTCTGTCCCTGAGCCCAGCCCACCCCATGGCTTCTATAGCTTCAACTGGGGAAGAAGTTTGGTTCCACCCTAATCTTAACAGACCATCCAGCCTTTTCATATCTAGTTCTAGAATATCTCATTCTCTCAAGGTCAAGCATTCTTCCCAATCTCTGCTGTGTACATTGGAGATGGGTGCACTGTCTTTCAGAGCTTTGATATATCAATTCTCAAGCATACCCACATTCTTTCTTT